AACTAGAGCTACCTGGTGATTGGATTTTCCAGCAGGATAACGATCCTAAGGGTACTGCAAGATCCACAAAGAAATGGTTCGCTGATAGAAATGTACACGTTATGGAATGGCCAAGCCAGTCGCCGGACTTAAATCCGATTGAAAATTTGTGGCGGTATTTGAAGATTCAAATCAAGAAAAGGTCCCAACAAACATTGAGAATCTTAAGGTGGTGTGCCAAGAAGAATGGTATAAAATACCAGTCAGCATCTGCAAATCATTGGTCGAGATGTATAGAAATAGACTGGTATCTGTTGAGCTGAAAAAAGGGTATTCAACCAAGTATTAAATTAAAATAATGCGGATTTATTGTTTTGTATGAATACTTTTTTCACCCGAAAAGTGAACATGTTCCATTGTTTTTTGTTGCATTGAGATTTAATTTCTTTTGATAGTATTTTTGAATACTATGCGTCTTTATACATAATTTAAATCACTTTTCCTGTTAAGTTTGTGTACTTACATACATTAAAATATGATTTTTCAAGTGTACGAATATTTATTTCCCCCCACTGTATGGTAAACTATTTAGTAAGTATTAGTAGAAGATAAAATTTCTTGTACGTTTGAAATAAAGATTAAACTATTTCATCTTGGAGTTGGTGGGCAAGAAAACGATACCGCCAAGCCCGGTGTTTGCGATGATGCAATTTAACATTCACTGCATATCCTTCAATACTGTATCCATGATAGTAACACAAGTGTTCCGGCGGAATCGAATTTGATGAAGAATAATTTATGATAATTCTAATAATAATTTATGATAATATATCATAATTCTGGTAATAATTATGCAAATAAATAGACATATGATCACTCTAGTGAGACTTTCATAATAAATGAGTACGATATATCATATATATGATTATGCAGTAAACGTTGCAGATAATTTTTGTAGGCAGTAGTTGATGCAACCGCGCTTAACGCAAGTAAATATTTTTGACAGGACTTGATAGGATTAATAATAAGTCATGAAATAAGGACATTATATTAAGGATTAATAATTAAGTTTGTCGGCGGGCCATCGATTTCATGAGCATCTTATCAAAAACATTCGGCGAGTCATCTTTTTCAAGAACATCGCTTTCGCATCGTATTAAGAGTAAGAACATCGTATTGAAGAGTAAGAACATCGTATTTAAGAGTAATAACATCGTATTGAAGAGTTTGAACATCGTATTGAAGAATAAGAACATCGTATTGATGAATAAGAACATCATATTTAAGAGTAAAAACATAGTATTGAAGAATAAGAACATAGTATTGATGAATAAGAACATTGTATTTAAGAGTAAAAACATCGTATTGAAAAGTAAGAACATCGTATTGAAGAGTAAGAACATCGTATTGAAGAGTAAGAACAGTGTATTGAAGAGTAAAAAAACATCGTATTGAAGAATACGATGAAAAGTGAAACAATAAATAAAATAAGGTTGCTGAAAATTTTTTAGTTTATTTACAATTGGACTGTAGTCATCGGTGATTCAGTGTACTTTCTTTTGCTCTGCTTTGCCAAAGATTCAAGAAGGTTTCTTTGAGAAAATCGTTGCCGAAGGTTCGAGAAAGTCGCTTTGAGAAAGTTTACTTTAATGGCCAAGACAAGTTTAGTTTAATGTCCAAATGTCTACAACAGCGTTGGCAGATGGTATATTTCTATACCAAATTTCACAAATCTGGTATTTTCAGGAGGTGTCTGGTATGAACATTTAAGATCTGGTATATTTGCCTAAATCTGGTATTTTCTGGCTTACTGCAAATTTACTGCATTAGGTGCCACCTCGGAAATTTTAGCTTCCTCCAGCGTAGGCGTGGATTATATAGATTATCTTCAGAGCGGCGCGACTAGCCTAGAGCTTTCCCACCATTTTTGGACCCGCAAGTTTACCGCTTGATGAAATAACCCCAATCTAATTGTTAACATTTACCAACAGTGTGTAGTACAATATAAGCAGGAGAGTGATGATCCTTGATAATGATTGCTTACTGATCAGTGATGATATGCCTAGGACGAATGATGTTCTCAAACCGATCTCTGCGACGCAAGCTCCACCATTTTTGTTTGGAGGTTTTGATTTATAGTGTGCCACTTATTGGAGTGCCACTTGCATTCTGGGGTGCCATTCAATATTTCACTGATCTTGAACTGGCTGCCTATTGCATCACTTGTCTACTTTGACCTGTCTCCAATGCATTCGTGGAGCGAATGTTTTCACAAGTCACTTATGTGACAAACAAGCAATGAAATAAAATTTCAACTAAGGTACTGGAGTCCCTTATTCGGACCAAAAGCTATCTGCTCAGCCGAAACAAGCAATCACACCCAAAATTTTAGATAAATGCAATATGCAAGCATGTACAAAAATAAGCAAAAGGAAGATGACCTCTTTCCGCTGCTTGCTCATGTTGAGCAAAGGGGTGCGCAGCCGTAGACCAGCAAATTAACGCTCAAATCAGCCCTGGAGCCAACATCAACCATCTAAATGCTATAGATATTGTCATCCTGGCACCTAAGCAGCTGTAGTCAATTGACCTATCTCACCACACGAACTTTGAACCAACACTGCTCCAGCACACAAGCTGCTACTCCACATAGTTAACGGTCAATATGTTGTAACATCAACCATCTAATTGCTATAGATATTGTCATCCTGGCACCTAAGCAGCTGTAGTCAATTGACCTATCTCAGCAAACAAACTTTAAACAAACACTGCTCCAGCACACAAGCTGCTACTCCACATAGTTAACGGTCAATTCGTTGTTCTCCAATGCTTTATAACCCATTCCATCACTTTTTACACATGCTGTTATCCTAAGTGTCCACTGACCACACTGCATTGCCGCAATTGTGAACTGTACCAAACGGTAATGCGTCATCACCTTACTCCGCAAGACGTTAACCCCGTGTCACTGTTTCCCTGCCTTACTATCCCCCAGCATCTTTCAGCAATTATTTTCTAAATACATCCTATACAATCAAAGAATTCTTTGAAACTTCTTAACGTAATACTTCTTAACAAAAAATATTTACAAACGACTGCTATTATTATATTATACCTTGCAATTGAGATAATTATAATATTAATAATTATAATTTCTTGATTATTATACCATAAACTGATAAAGCAGTATTTCGTCATTCTAATTACCGAGTAACGAATATTCAAAAATTTCGTCTAATATTCTTACAAATTCTTACCAGAAAATATACTTTTAACAACAAAGCCATTAAATAATGCAGATGTATCTGTATAATGTATATATTTTTTATATCAAACCATCGGCATAGAAAGGAATGCTGAAGGGACTGCAATGGCTGGGACGAAAATATGCACGTTCTCATAGGCGAGCAGCTGTGAAAATTTTGGAACAATTAGAAGAAAGATTACAATACCATCAGAGGCGTATACATACCACACCATAAAAGAATACAACTATGGTATGCTTACCATCGGCGGGTGTGGTACGACTGCCTCATGTGTGACTGGCTTGATCACAAAAGGGCGGGAAACAAGCATAGGTCATGCAGTGCTATGTAACATCTCCCGCGTATGTCTGTATGTACATACATACATCACTGGTCATTTATGTAATGCATGTATGTCTGTATCTATCTATATATGTATCTATTAGTATAGGTTGGCAAAATTTGTTCCTTTAAGCAGGTTTCATTGAAGACCAGAGAATTTGTTTTAGCAATTTTCTTATTAGATTTTTCAATAGATCGAATAATATTTTTCATTTGCACTGGTAAATCGAAAATCAGCATAGGTACTGATGGACATTTTTATTTCTTTAACAACGTTTCAAATGTATTAATCATTCATTATCAAGTTAAAAGTGCAAACGAAAAATATTGTTCGATCTATTGAAAACACTAATAAGAAAATTGCCAAAAAAAGAATTCTCTGGTCTTCAATGAACTATGTATGTATCTATCTATCTATGTATCATAATGTATGTATTTATCTACTTGCAAGGAAGAGAAGACAGTACAATGGAGCCCGGTCAAGCGTCCCTAACACGTCACGATGTAATGTAAACAATCCGACCATGAGTAGTAGTAGAGTAAACTTGTACAATTATGCTAAAAAATGTGTTGGTAAAGCATTTAAAGTGAAACAATAAATTAAATAAGGTTGCTGAAGATTTTATTTCACACTGTTGCCAGTGGTGTTTCGGTGTACTCTCTTCTCCTCTGCCTTGCTGAAGATTAGAGAAAATCGTCGCCGAATGTTCTAGAAGGTTGCCAAATGTGTCGATCAGTTGGAGCTGTACGCTGGTCAGCTGGATGCCACATCCTGCAGACTAGGGCAGCTCATTGGTGTTTTGTTCTTTTGTTTTTCTTCCGTTCTGCTTCTGCGGAAAACGTCGCCTCACAGAGAGCATCGTTGGCATAATCACCAGACGCCAAAGCTTCTGGAAGGTTCTCTGCGTCGCCAAAGCTTCGGGAAGATTGGTAAATGGCGTCGGCAAGATCTTCGGAGAAGTAAATTTGTCTGCTAATTTGTCTCCGAAGATCTTTCAAATCTTTATCACTCTCTGCACCCTGGCTCAAGAGCTGAGTCGAATCATTAGGAGATTCATCTTTCATTGAAACAACCAGGAGCTGACGCCTGGGGTTCCTAGAAATGTGGCCAATACCAGCTATGCCAAAAGGCGAGTTTGCAAGAGCCATGCTTACTTTGCTTAGAGAGATTTCATTAGAGAAAAATTTGTTTAAAGGACGGGCATTAGGGCCATCAAGATCTGCAACAGGCTCTATTATAACTATTTTAGAATTTGAATCAGAGCTCTTTGGGTATGACTGATGTACACGTACAGGAGGCTGAGATGAGTGAGATCCCAACTGAGCATTGGTTTTTGGTGAGGCAGCCGCAGAGGCAGGTATATCAATATCAATATGACCTTCCATTGTGGGATGAAAGCCCTCAAATGTATCACAATATCAAGGACTTCAATGTCATCATTAACCAAGTGGTCTCTTACCTCATTGCTTGTATTAGCACTAGGAGTAGCCGAGTAGGTGGTACAATGTCATCAAGGCTGAGAGGTGGCATTTGTGACCAGGTGGGTATTGCAGAGGGATTAGTAATGCTGACACCAGAAGCAGAATAGGTTTACACAAGAAAAAAACGTAGTTTTTTAAAAAAGTTATTTTTATGTATTTTATTAACCATCCATTATGATCCATATACTGTTATTGTTAGTAGGCTAGTTGCAACATAAAAAATAACACCTCAAAAAGACAAAAAAACTGAAAAAATCAAAAAAATCAAATAAATCAAAAAAATCATGAAAAAATCAAAAAAATCATGAAAAAATAAAAAAAATCATTGATTTTTGATTTTTTTGATTTTTTTAAAAAAATCAAAAAAATCGCCAACCCTGATGAACTATGTATGTATCTACACTATCTATGTATGTATCATAATGTATGTATTTATCTACTTGCAAGGAAGAGAAGACAGTACAATGGAGCCCTGTCAAGCGTCCCTAACGCGTCACGATGTAATGTAAACAATCCGACCAAGAGTAGTAGTAGAGTAAACTTGTACAATTATGCTAAAAAATGTGTTGGTAAAGCATTTAAAGTGAAACAATAAATTAAATAAGATTGCTGAAGATTTTATTTCACACTGTTGCCAGTGCTGTTTCCGTGTACTCTCTTCTGCTCTGCCTTGCTGAAGATTAGAGAAAATCGTCGCCGAAGGCTCTAGAAGGTTGTCGAATGTGTTGATCAGTTGGAGCTGTACGCTGGTCAGCTGGATGCCACAGACTGAGGCAGCTCATTGATGTTTTGTTCTTTCGTTTTTCTTCCGTTCTGCTTCTGCGGAAAACGTCGCCTCACAGAAAGCATCGTAGGCAGCATAGCCGAAGTTTCTAGAAGGTTGACTGCATCGCCGAAGCTTCGGGAAGATTGGTAAATGGCGTCGGCAAGATCTTCGAAGTAGTAAATTTGTCTGCTAATTCGTCTCCGAATATCTTTCAAATCTTTATCACTCTCTGCACCATGGTGCCAAAGTCAGTCCTTCGTTAGAAGGACTGAAGGAGCCAATCTCAAGCCATGTGGATTGTTGCTTTCTACTATTCAGTTTTGTAATTAATTTCCAACCGAATTGTGATCTATGAATAATTATTCATAACATTGCCAACTCTTAGAAGTTAGAACCTGAGTTAACACTATAGAAATCTAGTCAACGTGATGCAGATATTTGTTTGTATGTGATAGCGTTGCCGGGCATTCATCTTTAAACAACTTTAGGAGCACGGCGCAGGCTGGCGCACGGTGAACTTTTTTACCGGCATATTACGGCGCACAGCACAAATTGATGCAATGATAATAAAAATTCCCACGCACCTGGCACATCTTCCTGACTGTGGCATACACCTCACAGGCTCACAGCGGTATTATTGCAGATTAACTACATCCAAAAAAAAGGGTGTTTTTTTTTTTTAATTATATGTTTTTTGGGGTGTAGATTACAAATCTGCCACACTCAGGATGATGTATGTTTTCGGTGAATTTTCCCGCGTATTTTCACTTTTTTTAATCTATTGCTGTGCACAGTTCGCGCAATGTAATGAAAATTGATTCACTTGGTGCACGTGTTCGCGCAATCCCGGTCATCAATTCTACGTCGCGCTGCCGAGTACGAGCAGTTTGTGGAGGAACAGACGTAAGCCGCATACACCCCAAAAAACATATAATTAAAAAAAAAACACCCTTTTTTTTGGATGTAGTTAATCTGCAATAATACCCTCACAGCTAATGCCTCACAAGTCACGGCTAAAAATGGCTCCCTAGTCTGTAGTCTGTACTCTGTAACTGTGTAAGTCTGGGTCTGGGCTCACCGTCTGGCAGTGGCAAGCCAATCTGTAATAACATAACATAACATAACATAGTGATGTCGGCTCTGAAGTGTAGGCCTGATGTGGCCTGTCGCCGATTCTTTTCCATTTCGTGCCTTGTTCATAGATCTAAACTCGTGTCATTTGACCGGATCTTTTCATGACTGGCGATAGTTTGAAGCCATTAGGCTTCATAATATAATAATAATTAAAGCCATTAGGCAACATAGGTATCTGTGTCTTATGAGAGTTAAATTCTGCACCTGATTAGTCTACCATTTATTAACCCTTACCTAGCACTAATCTTGTCATTTGAACACAAGGATTCATGGGCCTAGGGCCAATTTGCCAAATGGTCCAGCCTGCCATCACCGAGCCTGGAGCATTCAATTTGTTCTGTGGGAGAAGTGACTAGAGATTTTTGAGCATACCACTGACCTACTACATCTACTCTGAGTCTCTGACACTACCCCGGTCCGGGTATGGGGGCAACAGAATAATTTCTTGGTCCAGTTCTCTATTTTGTCTGGCGTCATTTTGGATATTGGTTACCTAGCAACACAACATTAGGCAACCACCGAGTGCGAGCCGCATGTCCGGATATCGCTTATTAAGCAACTTGCATAGTAGATTAAAAGCTGAACAGCAAAGAAAAATTTATTTAAAAACATCCACGATCAAAGCATCAAAATAACTTGCATCTTTACATTATACTTTTTCTGTTATTATCATTCAATAAAGGAATAAGTCTGAATTTATACTTCGAAATTTAATTTAGACTTGTACATATAATATCCAAATCGTTTCAGTTAATTTTCTACGTAGACGTTTCACATTGCGGGGGCCACGATGCCTGTTGAACAAGAAAATGGTAAATTGGAAAAGAAGTTTTGAAATGTGATTGCACTTAATACGAAAAAAAATCCTATTTATGTTAGAATGAAGCGCCTTGTACACAAACAAGCAATACATCGCTTGGAAACTTCATGCGTAATATCGTTCAACAATTGTAAATACATCTTTGGCTTCAATACTAATATTTTTCTAAATGGTGCTTCTACCTACGGATAACTCATAATACCTAGCATTCGACGATGTTTTTCTCAAAGCTCTTCAAGTCTTTAGGACATGGTTACATCACTAATTATGATAGCCAAATTAGAAAATTTTAAATTTGCGCTGCCATGAAGCAAACGAACTAGACATTAAAACTGGTTCTTGTAAAATTTCCAATATTATGCGCATGCCATTTTCATGAAAAAACAGCTAATTTCAATAATGATATCGACGCAGCACCATCACCCCATAAGGCTAGAAATAATGGGAAAGTTGAGTTATTAACGAAATTCAGAAGGAATGATACATCAAATACAGGGCGCGTATAATATGTGGTTAATCACAGCAGGGTAGCTATCATACAAGCCTACGTTCCTAAGGATAGAATTAGTATAGTCGTCTTGAGGCATTTCGACACGAGGCAACAGGTTTGGAGGGTCTACGTAGTTATGATTCAGAAAATAAGGAAAAATCACACTAGGAAGTTTACAGAGATATTTCGTTTCGGTCAGATAATGAGCCATTGCATAACTTACTAATCTCAATTAATGAGCATAATACAGGGCTAACAAAATAATAGTTTAGACATGGTATGAATCATTTGAGCTCTAGAACCGAGATCCTAGTCTAAAGGCAACATAGCTTATAATATGAAAAAGAAATTCTAGGGGCTCAAATGTCGACAGCTTGAGACAACAATGACTAGACAGGGGTTTAACCGAATATCTAAATCTACTTTTAAAGCTATACTGATCTGTCTGTCTGTGTTTACAGTTCAGTTTGATAAGCGTAAGATGGGGTCAAGCATACTCATGGGTTTCATACTCGCTAAACTAGGGATGAACATGGGTCAAATATTCACGCGTGCTTGCTTTCGTGATGTACGGCAACGCTGCATTACGACACAACAGGGGCACAAGGCAGGAGACAAGGGCAACATCGCTTAACTCTAGCGGGTTTACAATCAACACTTAAGACTCTTGCAGGCTGAGTACCATTGAGCACGAGAAATGATGCCGAGGCCACTAAGTGACCCTCTCATCAACAACATTCTAAAATGGTTGCTGATTCAAATGAATTAATATTTATGTTCTATTTTGTCTAATTACATCGTTAAGCGTGCAGGTCTCTGAAGTAACAACACCCAACAAGTTTTCTGCAAGAAATAGTCCAGGGAATCATTTTCTGGGATATTCAACACCTAAAAAATGCATAATGTATGCGAAATGAATATGAAATAAAGGACTAAGAACTGAAAACTCAACTTGAAAAAATCCAGAAGCACTACCGTCACTATGCAACAAATAGAACAGGTATAAAAGAATTACGGATAAAATTTGACTACGAACATCTTAAGTGGGAGATACTCGATCTGATTAACAAATCCCGAACTGAAGATAATCTACTCAAAACATAAGCCCTCGCCAAACCAATCTCAGACGGATACCTTCCGTAGTTGTATAAGCAGATCTATGGGCATGATGGAAGACAACAAAATGAAATGCAAATGCAAAAGTATCTTCGTTAAGAGCTTATTGATTTTAATTATATTTAAGCATGGTGATAACGTCTAAAGGTTACTTCTCGTTCTGAATCATGAGCAGGATTGTCGTCCAAGATAAGCAGTTAGGTCGTCTAGCAGGTGAGACGTAAACGCAAGCCGAGAAAAGCACAAACATTTAGTCGCCACGACAAAGCCTTTGCAAAGCCCACTTAACTCGCTACTATTGAACAATCTCACCGCCTTCACAACAAAGTGGTTGCCGGAAAACTGACAAGCCTTGCATTTCGTTTCAGCCTCTTGACGCAACGGCAACGCAAATCAGACAAACTCCACCAAGATGTCAACATTGGAACATGTAAATTTTTGAGAGGCGAGCCAAAAATATTCAGCTGTATAATAAATATAATACTTCCTTAGTTTTGACGTTTGACCAAATAGGCGAAGTGAAAGATGTCAGGCCAGCATCTGCTGAGCAAACAGCTGGACTAAACAGCAACAGGAGACCTACTCAAACGAGAGATGCAAGTATTATGTTATGTTAAAAGTCAGTAAAGTAATCCTACACATCATTTTGATAAATGCAGTGAACACTCGTCTGCAAAAAAAAAGTAGAAAATATGCTTGCGTACCTCGACACATTGCCATGGGACGTTGGTTGTTTCGAGCATTCGCAATTTTGAACCTAAAATTGAAGTTCATTTTTTTAATTTGCATTTTTACATAAACTTAGAAACGTCGATGGCCACGAGTTTTGATGATACATCATATTTGTGCGATAAATAAACCTTTTCTTCCACCACTTCAGATTCATACAACATCATAATTTGCACCGTGAATGCGTGCGCTTCATTTAAGTAGTTCTTCAAAAATAGTTCACACAAGCATCAAATTCAACTCTACGCTTGACATTCTTACAGCACAGTCAAGGAGGCTGGCATCGATTTCTCCTGCTTCGGCTTCCTCGTCGTCATTTGATAACATTTCTCTCCAGGCGATTTGTAAGCGGTCGCTGAGGAAAGTCTCGCTTGATGTGACGGAACATCATGAACGTCTTCAGGGATAGGAAAAGTACACCAAATTCCTCGTTGCTGAACACAACCACGTGCACACGAGAAAACTTGGGTTGACTATGGAAGAGGTTGGCGAGTTGTCCGAAGCCGTGATACCTGAAATGGAAATAATATGCGTTTAAAAATTCCTTTTTAAATACAACACTTAACGAGGCCAGTGTCTCCGATGTTACACAAGTACTATGTATTTCTAATTTTATTTTTAATATAACCAAAATTATTGTTCAATTTTTCTAATTTTAAAAAAGTTGCAAAAATTTAAATTATTTATTCTGTCAATTGATTCAAGCATTGTCGCCGACTTTGCGCACGTGTGCAAATTTTCAGATCGATTAGACAGGTAAAAATGTGTTAAATATCGATTGTAATATTTGTAGCAGACGAACAAACAAACAAGAAGTGAAGTTAAAGAGAAGTGTTGTAAAAATGTATCTTATCTGATTCTCCGAAGACATACAAGTTTATAGTGTCAACTTATCACAGAAGCAAAGTTTATACAAATACTAGCAACATATTTGCAAACCTAGCGAGTTACCTGGCCCAGCATGTGGAGGGAATGTTAGTCTCGACCCCAGGAGAACAGAAGGGCGGCAGCACAAAAGGTTGTTTCTGACAGTGGCTGAGCGGCAGTTTGCTGGACTCTGGCTCTATCTTTATGAGGTCATTGCAGCCTTTGGTGCGCTGCTCCTTCGCCGTCAGGCTGAACGAGAAGGGCAGGCAGATCTTGACGGTGATCTCTCGCGTGGGCACGTACTGGTCCCCCAGGATCTGTTGCGGCGTTGAAGGTTCCAAGTAATGTACTTCATGACTGATCATGATTCAATACAATATACTTCATGACTGGAGCAATGAGACATGCAGATGACAAAGTTAAGCATAATTTAAAGCAAGTTAATTGTTTGGGCGCAATGTATCTGAACTCCAAGTCATGTATGATACAATACGGAAAACTTGAGATTTGTACAGTATTGTACTCCTGTCAAAATATATAATCCCATCGTTCACTATACTTGCATGGTCCGTAATACAATTTTATAAGATTGCAGTAATTTAAACAAGAAGTAAAGAAAATGAGACAGACAATCAGAAAATGGAACGCTTACACAACAAACTATCAGGCTTTGAGAGGAACCATAACGTAACTAAATGTAGCAATTTATAGTCAACATTGATTTTTTCCAGCCCAGATGCAGCCCGTTATTATCGAAATATTAGACTAATTAGAAACTGGACTCTATGTGAGCTATATAAGCATTGTTTCGAATGTGTGAAATTCGGAATGAAGATCATAGTGTGCAAAAACATTTCGGTTTGATGTGACAGTTGTCATGGCTCTTGTATTCGTAGCTGTACCTTGATGAGGACGATCTCTTTTATCTTGTACTCGAGCATGACGATCTCGTAGCCGTGAGGACCGTAGTGGCCGCAGTAGAGACCAGGCTTTAGGACGTGGGGCAGCAGTTGCGAGGGCGCCGTCACCGGTGATGAGACGTTCTCCTGAGCCCTGAGTCGCGTACTTGAGTCGTCGCGCCTGCGTGAGTCTAACCACGGGTCGCTGCTTGAAGAGCGACGCAGGTTCCCTGAGGCACTGTGAGCAGGGAAGGGGTTGCAGTGCGTCTCTTTGTAGAGCTGCGCAAGTTCCTGTCTTGAGCTTCCAATTGCGCTGTTAAGGTAGAACGGAGAGGCTCCTAGTAGACTGGAGACGGAAGGACTCGCCTCACCTGCGTCACAGCTAGCAGTCGCCTCAGCACCTGAACCAGTGGTAGACGAGGGTTGGGTAGCTGCAGCTTCATTGAATTGCGCAGCCGCGTTCTTCTCCCTCACCATTGCCGAGCTATCAGTAGATGAGCTTGATGCTGTGCTGATAGAATCGTTCGTCGAGCTCTTGGAGAAGGTGTTGCCACGACTGCTTGGACTGCCGTTCAGGGAGCTCTCGTCAAGAAGATCGTCATGTGACGAGTGTAAGCTCCCTAGCCTCCCGAATGCACCGTTATTATTTTCTCTTACGTCCATCTCAGCTGCCAACACTCGACTGTTAAGAGCATAATCAGTTTTCCTACCAAGCTCTGCTAAAAGATTATAAACTAGAGTCGACGTGCTACCACTGGCTTCTGCACCGAAAATAGCGCCATTCTGATGACTTTGCTCACGTAAAGGAACGATTCCTTCGAATATTTTATCTGTGGTCTCCTTGAAGTTTTCGCCTAGGAAGCTGTCGTCACTGATGGAGCTGGATTGGCTGTGAGAGTAGGAGATTTGCCTGGAGCTGGAACATGGCGTAGCGCTGGAGTCAGAGAGACCAGCACCAGAACGCTCGCCTAGGGACATCGAGGAGTAGGGCGAGCGTCCTACAGCCCGACTCGGTCGTGCGCCAGGCCAAGCATTGCTGTTGCTACCGTACGCGTCGTTATCGTCAGAGAGGTTACGCTCACCCGTGCAATAGTTATCGTTACTTCTGGGGTCGCTGGAGGCACGTCTGTGATCCTCTACTCTCTTCTGAAAAACGCCGCCAGGCACTCGAGAAGATGCATCTAAACCGCAACCGTTGGTTGATCCGTGAGAGTCCAGTGATTGCTTTGTGTTCGGAGCTGGCGGCGAATTGCTCATAGGCGCGGCATTCCACAGCTCGCGGGGAATGCTTGACATGGGCGGCACACTGAGGGGCTGATGGACGATACCAAGTCTGCAGCAGGGTAGGGATCAAAACATTAACAGTGTTGAAGAGTGAATAAATGAAGACCAAAACCGGCATTACAATCAAAGTTTCTTTTTCAGTTTCAAGGCACTTCAAACAAATCACACAATTTAAAAGCCACAAATGCAAGTCCCTGATTCTTTAAATTACACTATCTTCTCAATGGCATTATGATATCAAGGCTAAAATCAAGGAAGCAAAGTACTAAAATGCACATTCAGTAGAGCAACCTTAATGGTTGAAGTATGAGTTATAATTGGTATAAAAATAAATATAAAAACCATTTTTAAAAACCACGTTTCTCTGGTTTTCACCAAACTAAAAATAATGAGATAAAACAAATGAAAAAACTTTTAAAAACCACGTTTTCTTAACGGACAAAAAAGAAAAACATTTACTCTTACATAACATTCAAGTTATGTAAAAGTAAATGTTTTTCTTTTTTGTCTGTTAAGAAAACGTGTTTTTTTTTTAAGTTTTTTTAAATTGTTTTATTTCATTATTTTTTAGTTCTGTAAAAACCAGAAAAACTTGGGTTTTTAAAAATGGCTTTTATATTTATTTATTTTCTACTTTTTAGTTTAGCAATTTTAGCAATTCAAATCAATTTCCAGGGTTGGCAAGTCTGGATGTTTGAGAAAAAACTCAAGCCCAAACCGTAAATTTTTATTCTATTTTTTTTAATTTTTTTCTAAAAAATTTTTTTTAATTATTATTTCTGATGATCAAATCTTGAATTGTTAGGCAGCCTAAGCATGCATGCCAAATTTCAAGTTTCTAGGATCTTCAGAAGTGCTCTAAATTAAGGTTTAAAATTTTGATGACAGACAGACAGAATCGAAATGAAGCTAAGAAAAACGTGGTAATAAGTCTTAAATGTAGATTTAATTGACATTCATGAGCAACGTGGAAAATAGTGTAACACATTAAGAAAGTTGTATTTGTATTTATAATCTGAAAATTTGTAAAAATAAGAAATTAAAAAAATTACCTATATAAAAGAAAACTTATATACAAGATCAAGCATCCTATATTTGCTATTATATGCAAGCTTAGAATTTTCTATCAGCCAATTACTATAGTGTTAAGGTTGCTATCCATGCTATCCCCAGCACTACTGGCTTAGGCGCCGTTTCTCTTACTGCGTTGATGACTTGAAGTAGACTAGCCCTTTGCTTAATGACTCGCGGTACAAAGCCTTAAGGCTTGTAGTCAGAATGCAGCGAAGTCTGAGAGCGAGGTTTTCGCGACCATCGTGTAAAATCCTTGATCTGCCCAAAGCTCGGCCAGTCGCTACCCTCGAGCTTGTACTCTTTGTAATATGATATCCTAGCCAGACCCTTCTTCGCGGCAACTGGTCGCTTTCAGGTGGCCGAGGAATGGCCAACGGTCGGCTATAACTAATTGGACTAGGCCGACCACTGGCCATGTCTTATTCTTCGCCCCTCATTGACTTCACCTTTACCATGCCATCCGTCGTGAACTGACAGTTGAGTAATTTACGACGTCTCTTTCCCCTCAAACATTGCACAACGTTTCCATTTGAGCAACTAGTATGCGGGATTTTCCCTCCGCGTATCAGCAGACTCGATCATAACTATATTTTGGTAGAAAATATTTACAACAAGGAGGCTGATCAAGGAATGCCGAGTATACCATTCAATGGAGAATAAAAATTACACCCCGTTTACATATCGAAAAAAGTAAAAAAGTCGCAGACATGATGAACAATAACATCCAAAGTTTCTTGAAATTTCCTCTCATTAAAACTCTTTTAATACAAAATTTACATATTTTTTGTTACTGGTCGACGCTTATAAATAAATAGCTGGGTAAGTATGGAAAAATCCATATCGCCATCTCATTTGTGAGTGGAGTAAAGTCTATCCTAATTAGTGAAGAAACGCGTAGGGAAGAGCCGAGCCTGTTCGAAGCCTCTCGGTTCTCAATCAGGGCCTTAAGGTATGAACAATTGTGATGAATATTGACAATGTGTTACAAAACGAGCTCTTGTGTTTGATAAAAATGAGGTATTGGAGTACATTTTAAGTAGCAATGTTGCTTACATATAAAAAGCTCATCATTGCCTGTTGGTATTTAAATTGTCCCAGAATTTAAATGTGAATAAGAAGGCAGTGAGCATATAAATGTGTAACACAAAAGATAGCATGAGTTCACCTGTGAGCATCTATTATGGTCATGGCCCGGAAACCATCAAGTGTGTTATAGTTGTAGTAGCCCTGGGCAAACTTGGTGTCGTGGAACTGACATTTCTGACGGAGAGACTCGCCATCCTGGACACAAAAATAACACAAATTAATTAAGTTAGAGCAAAATACTCTTTGACTTCAAAAGAATCCCTGACGAGTTGTAAATGAGTAACAAATAAATATTAGATGTAAATTAATTAGGCTAATTATTTACAACAAGGAATGTAGTACAACACACAGTGCGCTATACCTTGATGTTTCATGTTATGGTACAAGTAATTGAATGTAATCATAACATTTGTAACAGATATGATGATATAGCTAGGAAAAAGTGTTCCTGGCATAGACGACAATTTTAACTTTTTATTGCAAGAAATTAGAAAAGGTGAGACTGACCTTACTGAGGGATATGTGTGTGGCATGAGGACGCTCTATCATGGAGCAGAGCTGAACAGGAGGCAGGGAGGTGGCATTCACTTCAAAGCAAGGGCTTTCTTCCAGCACGCCTTCATCAGTGATGCGCAGCGATGTTGCCACAATGCTGTCACCACACAACTATACCAAGACACAGAGGGTTCATCACATTAGCCAAAAATTAAATCAAGACCTAGTGAGTGGCTGACATTGTAATAAAACCACACCTAGTGGAACTCTTACAAGTCATTGCAAACCACTAAACTATCCTTCCATGCCATCACAAAAACATTTACCAAACCATTAACTACACTCACCTCGTCATGCACATACAGTTCCACAGAAGATGCATGTCATTACCTATATCAAAAAATACTTAGAATAGGTAATAATCAACCAAAAGACATTTTATTAACCCAAATAAAAAAAAAGACAAGCACAGAAACTGAAATCCCTCAGAAACTCATTATTGTCAGATTCAAAACACAAATTTATATCTAGAAAATGAATCACCCTTCCACTGGCACATATACAGGCCATAAAAGTCCATCGCAGCCATCATCCTTCACAAAATGCACACAAACAACACACACTTCAATATCTGCCCACACGGCTGTAGCCGGTTGGTTATTTCAGTATTTTTCATCGCAAACCAAATCTGTTATTCATTTGTTCACTCAATGTATATGTTCTAATTCAATCCCAAATATTTCTCTTTATTTTTTCAGGCACGGGGGAAAATTCCAATAATTATATTATTCATGCATGTGCTTGATCAGTGACATTGTAAAGTTCTAATAGAAGCAGGCAGATTGATGTCCAATGCTCTGGCGACTGCAATTGCCTTGGTGAGTGCTTGTTAGAATCCATATTGTATAAAGCTTTTAAAACCAGGTATGTTAGTGTTTATTCAGCTTAATAATTTATTTACTTCATTCCTGCTTATGTTTATACTTTGCACATACATTTATCCACTTCTAGCAATGCTTGCTCTTAATCTAAAGAATGTTAATTGCACAATAGTGAGTTGTTTACATGATTTTGCTTCAGTTGCTTTGCTATTTCAATCTTCTAATTTCAATGCTTGCTATTTTATTATGAGAATACCAAATTGTTTTCAATTTATGTACGTGTTCTCCCAATAAGTTGCTGTTATTACCACAGTTGCAATTGTGCCGTTTACCTTGGTTCACTTTAATCTCTTGTGTGTTCTCTCTCGCATTACTCTTGTGCACTCATATTATCAATTATATTCAAACTAAGTTAAACTTAGTGCTTGCAGCTTGATTGTTTTATCAATACTAAGGGGTTTTGGTTTTGATTAACTGCTGTGAGTGAGGTTCTTTTATTTGATTTTACTTTTATTGATTACGTATATGTTTTATCTCGTGCAGCTCAAATACCTCACTCATGCTCCCAATGTCTGGTTACATTTCATTCCATTCGCAACTGCATCTGTAATCACTGCCCCGTGCTTTAACAATACATCCATAGCAAGAAGGAAACTTTCATTCACCTAAATTGTTGCCAGAGACTAAAGAACCCGACATAAGCATTCCATAGCGCCGGCAACACGGCCAAGTCCATCTACAAACTGTAGCACAATTTCTACTAGAGTGACAGGCTTTGGCAGTTTACAGCCAACCTCATTGCATCACATACACCCTGCAATTGTATAAGAGCCAATGCAAGTGGAGGTGGCATATTAATTTTCATGTCCTAGGTAGTCATGGACCTCAAAAAATATGTAAAGATTTATTTTAAACCTTCAGAATTATATAATCATATACCATATTTATAAAAATTTGTACTGTGATGGTTTATGTGGGTGCATTTGCAGCCTGGCACCATGAATACATAAGGGCTCTTAGGACAGGTTTTCAGGATACTTATTGTGAAAAGAAAATACCTAGACCACAAATTTCATTCCATTCTTTTTGATTGGATCAAAAATTGCAATTTGATTCTGCAATTGGTAGATATAAATTTTATTTAAAAAGTGCAAATGTTTTTTTCCAGATTCTAAACTTTTTATCTTTGAAAGAGTTGAATGGGGTTGAATTATCCTCTGTTTAAGTAGGGTTTGTTAGTTTAATTAGAATAAAAAAGCTTTTTTTTATTAATAACAGAATTAGGGATTACAGGAATAACAGGATCAGAAATCCAAAATTGCATGAATTATAGTATATAGTAGACCTTTAAGTAGACTGCTTATAGTAGACCTGTAAATGCTGGGCTAACTGCTAACCTGCCAGTGAAAAACTGAACGTAAATGTTTGTATAAGAATGTTACAGCAGCATAGAAGCAGAACTTTACATACTTCATTGTTGTAGCATTTATGAACTCGATTGTATATAGAGTTTCAACAGTTTTTCAAGTTTTCTAAAAACTTCCTTTTCAATTACACTTAGGCATTGAATAATGATTCTGGATAAAAAAGAAATGATCACAGTTCTGAGATAAAAATCCATTTATTCTAACGTTTTGGCTATCTATATACTTCAGCCATCATCTGAGTGAATAAGATGATAATCTGGAAAGAATAGAAATTCAGATAAAAATACACTAAACTAGATTAGGTCACCTATCAGATGACCTATTGGATTGGCTCCGCTATAGACCTTAGAATAGCAGAGGCAATAGCTATTAGACAAAATAATCCGTACATCAATGTAAAATACAAAGAGATGTCAAATTTCCTTAATTTGTATAGATAAAATCTGATAGGTGACCTATTCTAGTTTAGTGTATTTTTATCTGAATTTCTATTCTTTCCAGATTATCATCTTATTCACTCTGACAATGGCTAAAGTATATAGATAGCCAAAACATTAGAATAAATGGATTTTTATCTTAGAAATGCGATCGTTTCTTTTCTATCCAGAATCATTATTCGACGCTTAAGTGTAATTGAAAAGGAAGTTTCTAGAAAACTAGAAAAACTGTTGAAACTCTATATAGAAATAAAGTCTGATTTATTATTTCTGAACTTGATTGTAACTGAAATATTATTTCTTTAGTGATTTAGCAGGTAAAAGCACCCCCAACTCAGAGCATGAGCACCAATACATTGATTTACATGACAGACAAATCAATGTAATAATTTTCTAAGACAAGATTACCTTAATTTCTAGAAGTCCTCCAAAGTAGTCAATCTTTGACCAGTATAGTCCAATCATCCAGCCATATGGATGGAGCACTGAAAGTACAAAATTTGGATTAAATAATGAGAAATGAAAAAATTATTGAGAAATGGAATAAATTGCATTGAACTCCAGGGAGAGGACAAGTTCAGTGTACGTAGTAAACATTTAATTAGCAGCACTTTCACTTGAAGAATTTGAACAATAGCTGCTGAGGGAGCTTTATGAGGATGCTAAAATTCTTTATGAAGGTGTTAAAGCATTCATGTTATAAACAATCAAAAGATCAATCTAATGCTTCACTAAACATGGAAAGGATGGAGGTCTACACAAATCAATTTATACTTGTATATATTGCTCTATTATATTATTTCCTGGTTCTAATATTAAAAGAAACATATTAGGAACATTTTCATATCAATATTTATGTAAATTCTAAAATTCAACAACTTCAGCATGACAGCATCACCTATAAGCTTCATTCTCATATCAAACAATCGGTTTACTTACAATTTTGATAGAGTTTTTTGTATGTGTTGTTGATTCTTCCTGTGAGCTCTGTGACATGGTATTCTGAAAATGATGATGAAAATTACACCTTCCATTCGATGAAAAAATTAAAATAAAAAAAATTAAAACAATTACCTACTGAATTATGGAGGTACCAAATTTTAAGTTCATCAAATTAATTTAGGAATTTTATATTACTGTTCAAGAACATTTCCATCCATAAGAGTAAATGTTTATAGTCAAGATTTATTCAAATTGAAATACTGGTATGTAATTTCTTTACTGACCTGTCTTAGCCAGATGACGCCATAAAGCTTCATCTTGCACAGCCGTGTACAACTTGTGACAAGTTGAGCTCAAACTAACAAGCTCTGGCCAGCTGCAGTGTCTCAATATGCACTGTAGCACCTCGGGTGGCAGCCGTAAAAAGGCACTTTCATATGCCATTACAACTACACTGTGAACAGTTGGACTGATCCTGAGAAATAAGAAGACATGAAATATACATATACTGTGTCACTGAAACAAGATAGCTTTGTAAATTATTACTACCACACACCATGCAAACATATCAGGAAGTTTCTAGAGGTTTATATGCTCAAAAACATAAAGCTAATAATATGAAAGCTGATGATTATGTATAGATAATGAATTGAACATTTTTAAATTTATTGTCTAGAATGGCCCACAAAACGTTTCTAAAAATAATTGCTTGTGACATCACATGCAATATGTGGCACATGTGATGTCCACACAATCCCACTTCCAATTCTTTAGTTGCATTCAGGCCTGAGTGAACATGGCAGCACCTTCTCCATTTCCCAGATATTGTGATTATTTTTGATTGTGATATTGTGAATATTTTTTATTGTGATACGTTGTAGTTTAAATGTCCTGAGATACACAGCAACTACTTCCAAATGGCCTGGATGATGCTTGCTGTTTCCCTGCTTTCAAGGTTGCTACCAACAAATGGTCTCTCTTCACAGCATTTCCAAACGTCCAGTGCTTGTGAGAAATTCTGCAACTGCTTTAATTATAAGGTGCTGTATGTATTCGTTTTTGATAGTCTCCTCCTCCCAGTAATATTCATGTGGTCAGAGTCTGGATTTCTAAGCCAGAGAGGGTGTGCTTCAGTCTCCGGCATGCTGCACTGTAGCGACTGCACTCAAGTAAAAGGTGCTCGATTGTTTCATCCTGGTTGCAGGTGGTGCACAAGGGGGAGTCTGACATGGAAAAGTGATGCATGTATGCATTCACACCCACATGTCCCAGCCAAAAGCTGGCCAGTACAACTGAGACACGTCTAGATCTTGTGTGCAGCCAGGGGACAGGGAGTAAATCATCGCAGAGAGTCAACAGATGGCGACCCTTCTCTGTATCTGCAACATACCGGCACCAGTTGCCTGCCAATGCGCAAGGAATTGTCTGTTCAGCCAGTATCTTCCATCAGTGTACTCTACTGGATGGAGCGAGCTATGATTCAGCTCATGTCCCACCTTGGCCGCTCTGTCAGAAAGTTCATTGCCATGAATTCCAGCATGGGCCTTCACCCATTGTAGTATAACTTGTCTATTGGCATTAAGTCTCCTCAACTTCTCCTGGATTCAGTAGGCCACTCATGAGCACCTGCTGTGGAAGCCCTTTTGTGTCTGCAGGAGAAGCAGAGCTGAGCAAGAGTTGGAGCAAATGACCCAGTTGGGATGTGAGTCACATTCAACAATAACTAGTGAATGGTATATGGCAGTGAGCTCAGCGGTCAACACACTGCTCCCCAGATGCAGACGCCAAGAGATGGCTCTATCTTGTGAAGGTATATAAATGCCACAAGCACTGGATTCCTGGCTGGGCAGGCGGGGGCCATCACAGTAGATGACATGAAAACCAAGGAAATTCTTGCCTATGATAGTCCCAAATTGCACCAAAGGACTCACAACCAATGTTGGTTCCATGCTGTCCCGGATGTAGTCAGCAATTGGTTCCCAAGGGGGTACTGGGTCAACAGCAGGCACCGGCATGTGTTGACAAATAACAAATGAACGGAGGTTGGTAGCAGCTGAGTTAAGTGCGGAGTGAGTCCCTGCAGAGGGGAGCATCATTATTGAGGCACTTTAGTCACCCGCTGGTCTGTAGGTCAGGTTAAGTGCCAGCTGAGTCCCAAGTGTCTGATGGCGGAGAGACAGGGCTAGTATATGCGCTTCAGCTTGGAGAGAGACAATGGGTGTTGTTCATTGTGCGCTCAAAATTAGGCGCAAGCAGGCGTTTTGCAGGGTATCCAACTTGGCAAGCATTGTGTTTGAGGCAGTATGATACAAGGTTGATCCATAGTCAAGCTTTGCTCAAATGTAGGCACAGTAAAATGTCCTGAGGAAACTCCTTGATGAGCCCCAGTTTGGGGATGCCATATGTTTAAGGAGGTCCATTCTGCAGATGATATCACATCTGTGGTGATATGTGGTCCCCAACATAAGCGGGGCGCATCAAAGATCATTCCAAGAACTTCGTGCTGTGTGTTGTAGTTGATGATCTCTGTAGTTGTAACGCATGACTGGGATTTGTTTGCATTTGCTGGAGTAATATTGAAAAATGGTTTTATTTGGGTTAACCACCAAGCCCCAGCACTTGAAATAATCTCTAAGAATATTTAAATAATTTGTCATTTTCAGTTTTGCTGCCTGCATGGTTCCTGCGTGGCATGCTACTGTGATATCATCAGCATAAATGAGGGTTTGGATGCTATCTTGCAGTGGAATGTCCATGAGTAACACATTACATAGCAGTGGGCTTAGTACAGCTCCCTGGGGTACACCAGCTTCCAGCACCTGTGGATCCGACAGCACTCCCCTCACCCGGACCCTTATGCTCCGTGATCTTAGATATTCCTGCAACCATATCACCATGTTGCCTTTGATACCTGCTCTTCTTAGCTTGAAGATGAGGGAGTTGATACAGACCTTGTCAAAGGCAGACAGTAAGTCAAAGACTACAAGGCAGACCTCAGAAGCAACCTGGGCAGAGAATATCAGTTGTTCCAGTCTCAGTAATACATCCATGGCGCTCATTCAATGCCTGAATCCACACTGTGAGCTGGAAAGTAGGGATTGGGATTCCAACACGTACTCCAACTGAGCAGCCACCATCCACTCAAATAGCTTGCCTATACAGGAGAGGAGCGTGATTGGCCTATATGAAGTTGGTTGTGAAGGGTCTTTTCCGGGTTTCAGAATTGGCAAGACTACTCCCTCCTTCCATGCAGATGGGACAACACCAGTAGCATAGCTCTGGTTAAATACTAGTAAGAGTTCCAAAAGTTGCTCATCACTGAATGACTTTAAAAATGCATTATGAACACGATCAGCACCAGGGGAGGTCTGTCTTAGCCTCTGCACCGCACAGTGGATCTCTGCCATATTGAAGTCTCTGTTGTAGTGAGCAACAGGGTTTTCATCACCCGGTGAAAGGTTTGCAATGACTGAGGGGGTATGTGTGCGGTTTACATGAGAGCCGGCACTTATTGTTTGGCATAGCAGGTTAGCTTGATCAAGTGTATTTGTGATCAGTTGGCCATTCACAGATAGGGGGTACTCAGGTTGTGGGTGGCAGGCTCGGAGCAGTCGGAGTTTGCGCCAATTGATGAGATTCTGAACAGTAGGACGACGGGTTACAATTTCCAGTGCCCTCCGACAGGCAAGCACAGTTGTATGGCAGGCCTCACTCCACCATGAGAAAGTAGGCCATATTGGCAGTGCACTGGTGGTAGAGGCAATGACTTGAGAGGCAGCATCAATTATCCTCGTGGTAAGGTCCGCCAGCTGGTCATCCACAGATGCAGGTGTTGTTAGATTTGAGGGAAGGATACAAGTTGGGATTTGTTGCAATTCATTTGAGGTTATCTTCCACCTTGGCACTGGGACCGAGTCAAGGCACAGCAATGAAGTCCAGAGGTTGCCAATATTGGGAAGTGGTCACTTCCCACATCTGGCAAGCATCTGAGACTGAAACCAGGTGACACATCTGAGGTGACCAACACCAGATCCAGGCAGCCCGGGCCTCCAGTGCGACAATCTATGTAAGTGTGGAAGTCCACAGGGTTGATTAGGGTTAGAGGTTCAGACAGTAATAGTTCTTCTAGAGCGCTGAAGAGGGCCGCAGAACATTAGCTATAATATATAGTAGAATCATTCATTCACAATTGTACCTTAATGTATTTCATGTTCTATTTCATTATCTTTCGAGTGTCATGTGCATGTTGAAGAGGGCCGCAGAACATTAGCTATAGTCTGTAGTACAGTGGTTCCCAAACTTTTTCAGGCTGGCACCCCCTTTGGTCCCCTAGTGAATTTCTAGCACCCCCCACAGACATACGCCACTCTCTTGAAATTTAGTACGCTGAAATTTTAAAAGATGAAGGTTAAACACAAATGTGTATTTCACAAATAGAACCCCATTTAGTGAACCAATATGTTTTTCAGCTGTTTTAACTGTTTCAGCACTAGAAGCCAAGGACGTCGCGGGCAAATTTAGGGCCGGACTCGTGGCCGGTCTCACGACCAATCTCCAAATTCAATTATCAAGAAAATATCTCCCAAACAAATGAACGCAGCTCTATGAAACTTGGAACACACATTCATCAAAACCTAACGGTGATGTTTAGCTAGTAATTTTTTTTAAATTTCACCTTCATTCGTGAGTTGTTCGTATATTGCGAAACAGGCCAAAATTCGCATTGATCAAAGAATTTCTTCAAACTATTGAACAGATTTGAACGAAATTTTGAATATACATTCCTAACTACCAAGCGGTGATTTTTTAGATTATAATTTTTTTCGATTTTACCTTCGTTTGCGAGTTTTTTTCATTTCACCGTCATTCTTGATTTCACACTTCCTTATATTCGGCCCGTATCGCCGGGTAATTTGTCGCTTAAATTCGCGGCGATCAAGAAATTTCTTCTAAAATACAGAACAGATTTCAACGAAACTTTGTATAAAAACACATAACCTCTCAACAGTGATGTTTAGCTCGTGACAATTTTTCCATTTTGCTTTCATTTGGAGTTAATAATAATCTGTTCAGTAGTTTGGAAAAAAATTCTTGATTACTGCGAATTTAAGCACGAATTGCTGTTTAAATCACGAATGAAGGTGAAATGAAAAAAACTCGCGAACGAAGGCACAATCGAAAAATTTTTAGTTAGGACTCTAAATTCAAAATTTCGTTCGAATCTGCTCAGTAGTTTGGAAGAAATTACTTGATCACTGTGAATTTCGGCCCGTATTGGCATATAACTATGGCAAAAACGAACGATGGCAAAATTCAAACAATTTTCACGAGCAAAACATTACCGTTAGGTCCTAATGAATAAGTGTACTAAGTTTCATCGAGTTAAGTTCATTAGTTTGAGAGATATTCCTTGATCATTGAATTTGGAAATTGGCCGTGAGACCGGCCTCGAGTCCGGCCGTTAATTTGTCCGAGAC